TGGGGGCGGGTTCACGGGAAGGGGCGTGGCTCGCGCCGCGGAGCCGGCGGCCAGAGCCGGCGCCGGGTGCCCTTAAAGGGGCCGCGCGGTGATGGAGTGAGCAGGTAAAGGGGGGAACGTGCGGCGGGGCCGCCCGGGAGGAGGTTCCCCGCATGAGAGGGGGGCCTCGCACTGCACGGGGTCCCCAGCTGGGGGTGTCCGGGTACAGGGTGCCCTGATCGGAGGGGCCCTCGGACCCGGTCCCACCTGGAATAGGTCCCATCCGTGGGGGGGTCCAGCTGGGAGGGGAGCCCAGTGCTGCTGCCTGGCTGCTCCCCGCGGGCTCCCCTTGCCCGGGCTGGAGCACCCTGTGCTGGGAAGGGAGCACTGGGCAGGTGTCCGGACCCCCCCAGGGCTCTGGGCTGCCGGCAGGGCTGGGGCTGGCACCCGCTGGGCACCAGGAGGGCCCGAGTGGGGGCTGTTCCTGCGCAGAGTGGGCTGTGGGCACCACCGTCCACCCTGGGAGCTGAGGACAGGATTTGCTCTGACGGGCACAACTTTGCGAAGGCAGAGCAAGGAGCGAGGGCGGCTCTGCCGGCAGAGCCGGGCGTGACCCGTCCCCTGTGTGACCCATCCCGGCTGCCACTCACTTTCTGCGTAGATCCCGGCTTACAGCGACCCTTTCCACGGCAGCGTTGGGGTGTCGCGGTGCTGTTGCACTTGCACTGCCCTGTCAGGAAGGGGCTGCGGGGGCCGGGGAGCCCCTGTGCTCCCTCCTTGCAGTGGGGACGGAAGGGCAGCGCCCAGGCAGACGCAGGCTCCCTGCGCTCATTAATTATGGATTTGCATTTCCAGCCCTTGCAGCTATAGGGTCAGGGCGCAGAAATGTGCTGGGGAGCAGCCAGCGTGCGTTGCTGACGGGCACGGTGCCCTGGGCCCAGCACTGACACCAGCAGGTGAGCTGGACTTTCCTGTCCCGGGCAGCCCGGGCTGCCGCTGTCCCTTGGTTTGTCCCCAGTGCTGAGCTCAGGGGCTGCAGGGTGCCCCCATGGCACAGACCCTTGTCCCGGCTTTGCTACGTGGTTCCGACTGCCTCCTCCACCGGAGCAGCCCGTGTCCAGGCTGCCCTGGCTGCTCTCCCTCCTGGTGCCGGGGTGCCAAAGGCCCCTCAATCCCCTGAGCCCCCTGCGGAGAAACCTAAAGCCCCGCTTTAGTGCCGCTTACGGCAGTCCCTGCAGGCTGATTAGCGGGATTTCCTCAGGAGGATCCTAATCCCGCCCGGCTCCGGCACCTGCTTATCCACTGCCAGGCCTGGGCTTGCAGATTAGTGCTGGAAACGGGAGCTGCAGGGTCCTGCCCTGCTGCCCGGCCCCAGCGGGTGCCCGGCCCGCCTGCCCAGCCCCTGGGAGCTGGATGGGGTGGCTGGGACACAGGGCAGGACGTGACCGCGGGTCTCCCGCTCCCAGAGGAGACAGATGGGTCTGGGCACGCAGGACGGAGGCGCCTGCTCTGTTATTGCACCCAAAATGGTCCTGAGCCCCGGGATTGCCAGGAGAGGCCAGTCCTGTGGCCCCTTGCAACAGGGTGCCAGCAGCACCTAGGAATGGGATCCCTCGGGTGATGTGGGCGGCTGCTGCACGATTGGTGTCGGACGGGAATCCGGAAGCAACCTGACCCCAAAGGAGCTTGTGCCCTATTTTGCTGCTCTCGGTTTACAAAAGGAAAAGATTTGGCAGCTTTGGTGCGGAAAGGAGCTTTGTGGCAGGGATGTGGGGCTGGCTCCTCCCTGACCCGGTCCCACCTGGTGGGGAGCTCGGGCGGATGCTGGTGCCATGTCCCGTGTGAGGCCCTGTGTCGGGCGCATGAGAACTCGGTGGGCTCGGGCAGATCAGCCTCGAGGCTGGGATCCCGCTGACTCTGCCGTGCTCTTCCCGCAGCCGGATCCACATCCGCGCCGGCCCCGCCATGGCCGTGGGCACCCAGCTGTGGCTGCTGCTCTGGAAGAACTTCACGTACCGGCGGAGGCAGCGGGTGAGGCAGGCGCTCGAGCCAGGGCTCCTGCAGCCACCGGGGACCCATGGAAGGGGCCTGTGCCCCCCTGCTCCACGCCGACCGCAGCCTCCCCCTGCAGATCCAGCTGGCCATCGAGCTCCTGTGGCCCCTCTTCCTCTTCGTCATCCTGATCTCCGTGCGTCGCTCCCACCCGCCCTTCATGCAGCACGAGTGTGAGCGCGGGCGCGAGCTGGGGCGGACGTGGGCTGGGGGGCTCTCCCTGCGCGGGGGTGCGTGGGGCCGGGGGGGCTCCCTAGCTGCCCCCCCCAGACCCGTCCC